TTATATTTTTGTTCTGAATGTTGTGAGAATTTTGGAGACGAGATGTTTTCTGCGTTTGAGAGACACGTACGACAAATTAGCAGCTGTGGTTGGATCATCTCGAGTTAGAACAGAGGTTTATCTCGCTTTTTGGTTAGGTTCCAGACCCTTCTGAATTTGATGAGAATGTAGAAGGGAGTGGCTGGTCAGGCAACTAAATTAATGCAAGAATCACTTATGTTTCTGAAAATTTACACACAACTGAATGTATAGTGACAGGATATTTTGTTGTGCTGAAAAAAAACAAAAAACATAACATCAAAAACAGCGGTGTTTGCTATCACCAAAAATTATCGAAATGTTCACCTAAGCCTTGTATTTTGTGGAAATTTGCACTTTAATACATACGTTAGAACTGTTGCTTTTCAGACACACGAGTAGAGGTGAAAGAGAACTGGATGGGAGCAAGCTAAGTGCTTTTTAGTGACTCAGTGACAGCCGTGACCGAAATCGTATTAGGGTCACAATGGGGGTGGTCGGGTGGAGTAAAGCAGCTTTTCAAATGAATCAATTCTCACTCTGCTTCCTCACTTCCTTCTATTCATTCACTGGAGTTTTACTATCGCTCGCCATGGTCCATCATGCAGTGCTCTTGTTATAATACACTTATTAACGTACAGTACAGCTGAACAATTTTGAGTGGGGGGAAAAAAAACAGCTGACATTGTTCTGACAGGCATTGTGAATAGATTTGTGATTTATGTGCCTGTTTACATGAGAATACTTGCAGGTAAAACGACAAAATATTTGATCGGAAGTGCCTTTCATTTAGACCGTGATGGCGGCTTTGGGGCTTAAAAAGGCAAAAATCTGAAGCCACCCTCCAGAGTGGAACATACGCTCTGCCGTAGTGTTTCCGTCTACACTGCCCAAGACGCAAAACTCTGGTCAGATCTGCATACGCGACATGATAGTGTATCACAGCAGCCTGGCATGCATACCCAATCAAATTCCACACACTTTTGCATCACTGTATGCACGCAGATTTCCTCCCAAAAACACTCATCTAAACACAGAATAAAAAGTGAAGACACAAAGTCACTTTTTCATCTTCTGTTCAGACCTATGTTTTAAAATCAGGAATCCCTTTAGAGGGCAGAAAACTCATTCAGGAAGTTTAACTAATCCAGTAATTATATATATTTTTAGATGGTGTATTTCATAGCTTGCAGAGAACTTCCGTAAAAGTCTACTTTGTAACTTGTCCCCATGGAGATGGTATTGCTTTGTTATTTTTGGCAATAAACAACATATCTGCACTAAAATTCACACAAGTTGGATGAGTTTATTGCCGTGCAATATTCAAGGTATAGCAATGACATTTCCATAGAAATAACTAGAGCAAGTTACATAGTGCACTTTTAAAGAGTCTATATTACACTGTTTTGTTTTGTTTTTTTTAAATCTATGTTATAATGTTATTTTTTCATCTAAAATATGCTCAGAGTTGTGCGTTCTGTTTCACTCACACATATTTAACACACAAATCCTGCATATTTAGGCTGAGTCCTTTCCTCAAAATGAAAACCCTCTGTTCCACCTTGTCATGTGGTAATACAGGAAGTGCTTCACTGTGTTTTTAAACTCTGTACACTTTCACTAGAATCATTTGAATAGTTTCAGCCCTGGAATTGCCAATCTCTTCTGAACGAAAGGTAAAAAGTAGCTGTTAACTTGAAAACTATCGCTTCATGACATCACGAGTTGAAACAAAGCATTTTGAGCTTTGGAGATGTAGACAGACGAATAAGAAAGGGTTTCTCAAACATGTGTGAATGAAACAAAACACAGCTCCAGATGTTTTTTAAGGATGTAGCAACATTAATAACATGACTTAAAGCTCCTAAGAGTCAATTTTGCATAATATTGTACCTTTAACCTTGAAATTTGTTAATTGTCCTCATCCAAATTCCAAAGCGTGAGGTTGTATTAGTTATTGTTTGATGCTGTCTTCCTGTCAAAACTGAAAACCCCAAACATTGATGCATTCCGTTGTTGGTTTGCACACAACGTTATCTCCCTCCACCATTTCGTTGTGTATCATTTTACACATCTATGTCGCTAATGCCTTTTCCTATAGATCATTACCCTCTCCACCCTGGACACTGTTGGCGATCGCTCAATCAGAAATGCCTGGCCCCCTTTGGTCCCTGTTGTGAGGCTGAGGTGGAGAAGCTTCGATCTGCGGCATCCGGCTGTTTACTTTGCTTTGATCTATGAAAGTGCCCATGCAGTTTCCAGGTTATTGGCACATTTGGAGTTGGCGGTAATGGCCGTACAGATTTAGCCCTCGAGCTATTGTTGACGTGACTGGCAATGTGCTTATGGTATTTCAATATATATGTTTGGTGCTGATGAGCTGTGATGCTGCTGCAACATGGTGAAATGGAGCTTAATAGTTCAACCCACTTCGATGCTTGCTGAGGTTCCAAAAGTATAAAGTTTGAATTCAAGTCATATATTAAAGCTGCACTATGCAACTTTTCTTGTAGCATGTCTGTCATCTGCTTTTCTCTGTTGCGCAAAATGGATTATTGTGAGTTTTAAGCCATGTTAGAATATTGTTACCTCATCAAAACACACCTGGAGTTGTGTTTTGTTTTATTCTCACTTGTTTGAGTGATCCTTTATTATTAGTCTGTCTACATCTTCAATGGAATGAAACAAAACACAACGCCAGGTATGTTTTTGATGAGGAAACAGCATTTTAACATCAGATCATAAAATTGCATATTGTGGGCCCTTCAAAAAAGGTTATTGATTTGTTTAGAAAGTTCCACATATGGCATTAAACCTATGTAGCCTGCATTTATTCACTTACATGTGTTTTTATTGCACAAAAATACACTGAAAAACTTGTATTCTGACCTGTAACATGGCCAAGGTAGTGTCTTATATTGTGTTAGATAAGTTTAATGCCATAATGTGGAACTATAAAGTAGACAAGAAGTTGGTGGGCCCTCCAACAAAAAAGTAGCCTGATTCGGTTTCTATGAAGTGAAACCGTCTGACCTCGCAGCATTAGGATTTGTTCGCTCGACAGTAGGTGGGAACTTTTTTTCATTTCACCAATTGCTGCTATTTGATCATGACATATTGAAGGCTCCGCTAATGGGCCTAACTGGTATATTAAGCTTTTCCCAAATCCCGTAGAAAGAAGGGCAATAACGTCTTTCCCTTTGATAAAATTCACCAAACGTTGTCTTTGTTCTGGCTTTAAATCCTCGATCTTGGGAATTGTTGCCAACACAGAATGTTTGGCTCTTCGCTGATTGACTGGTGCCCGGACTCTCATTTCCAGGGTTTTGTGAACTGTCTAGTGTATTCCGATTCCTGACCTAGTCGCTGGAGAGAAATGAAATTGAGCGGAGCCATGAAGTGGTGCCAGCCTGGCTAACAAAAAAGTTACACAGTGCTTCTTTAAGAGTTTAAAAGTTAAACAGAGACTAATCAGCTATTTATTAACGAATGTCCATGAAGCATTTATATTTAGTGTAAAAAAAACATTAACTCAAAATTTAGCTAAATAATTTTTGCAGTTAATACTTGTTTTTGTAATATATGATGTGCCTTATGCTCATTAGTTACACATCGCTGATTTGTCCATAGCAAGCTTTCAAACTTTTAATAAACTGTATATATATATATATATATATATTTTTTTTTTTTTTTTTTTTTACAAAGTCAATGTGAAAAATGAATGGTAATTTTACTTCCAGAACCAGAAATTTATTGTTAATTAAATTGCGTCTCATGCCCATTAGTTCCCACATATCTGACTCACTTATTTTATATTATTTGAAAAGAAACTATAAGAAATATGAATATGATTTTTGCTTCAGAAACCCAGTACTGACTTGATCAAAGCTCCCTCTCCCTATTCTATTCCACACTCCATCACCGGGCATTACATTAATACAGTTCCCCTCTAATAACTTCTCCATCTTTCAAACTTCACCCCTCCTCGCCCTGCTCACCGCCTGACCTCCATACCTCACTCTCCATTTGGAGGAGAGGGCCCTTGTAAGCCCTGGTAACAGAGGTTAATCCGCTCTTATTAGAAGCGGGATTACTGCAGGGGAAGGGACAGGGGCTGGCATGCTCGCTGATGCTAACCTCTTTACCACCAAACTCGAGAGATCAGGAAAAATACCATGACTGATGTGAAGGGTCTGTCCACATCTGTCTCTGGAAATATAAAATGTATTTATAAGATGCAAAAAAAAAATACTGAAATTTAGTATTGTAGCGTTTGAGCATATTTCAATGGTAAGTACTCGGTTCTGACTTAATGTTTATACAATAACACGCTGTAATTGAAATGCATTTATGTCATGTTAAATTTTGGGCCAGAATCTGTTTTTTATTATTATTAATTATCTTTAAAGGTCCTATATTACGCAAAATTTACTCTTGTGAGCTTTAAGACATGGTATAATGCTGTTACCTCCTCAAAAACATACCCAGAGTTGTGTTTTATTCACATGTTTGAGTCATCTTTTAGTATTAGGGTTGAAATTATCCAAATGACTGTTTGGAGTTTACATCACAAGGTGGATCAGAGCGTTTTCTGTTTGAGAGAAGAACTCTAACTCCTAAATATGCAGGATGTGTGTGTTAAACATGTATGAACGAAACAAAACAGAGGTATGTTTTTGATGAGGAAACAACATTATAACGTAGATTAGATAATAGCGTAATATGGGACCTTTAAGTTGGGTAACAGTGCATGTAAAATGTCTTTACTTTTGTCCAATTTGTTTAATGTACAGAATTGTGTGTGTAATGCTTATGTTTTCTTCACAGACTCTTTCCTGACTTTCGATTGTGTAATTTTTACTAACTCCACTGTTCTACTGATTGTAATGCACAAGACTTTCCCTCCCAAAATAATGTACTAATACTTTATTTTTTTTTATTTTGTCTGTCTTTCTCTCTCTCCTCCATGCATAAAAATGTAGAAGTGGAACAAAAAGGTAACTAAATACAGACAACTTTCCTTATCATCTGATTTCCCATACTAGTCATTTTTGGTGTCGGGACATAGCTTTTTTTAGCTGGTTACATGCCTTTCAAGGGGAAAACACAATTTCAATTTACTATAATGAAAAGCAGCAGCGTACCGAATTATGTCACATTTAATTTCATATTAACCAATAAAGAAGATGTATCTATTAACATTGAGAGGTAATTCTTAAAGGGAAGGTCATTACTACCCTGCTCTCATGGCCCTTCCTAACCTCAGGATGTCTCCCATTGCCTTTAATAACCCAAGATTATTCCAGCCTGCTTTATCAGCTGCATAATATTAAAGTGGAGGGCTATATGGTATGATCAATAGCCTGTCCAATAAGCTGTCAGCATTTTTGATTATGGCTCTAACATGTTGATGGATATAACCTTCAGGGACTCACAAGTCAATACTGTAGACAGCTCGTAGCCGCCATATTCTTCCTTATCAGCGCCGCATGATTGTGCACTACATATGCCAATGCCCCGGCCCCTAAGACAGGGTTATGGGGGATCCAATCACAAAACTATTATTATGGAGCCAACAAATGTATGTCTCAAGAAACACATTACTGTAGTGCAATAAATGACAGAACTTATGGCTTTTCCGTTAACATTTAGTTAGTGTTTTAATGGTATTACACGCTCTTCTTTACCATTGAGGAAAAAATGCAGATGTGTACTAAACATTATAGTAGTATTAAATGTCCACCATCTGCTAGTCTCCATAGAGATGTAAGTGCCGGACAGTTGCACTGGACACCATTTATCTTTTATAGTACAAGCACTTTACGCCATCAGGTCAAGTTTCAGATCAAATGTGTGAAGAGGCAAATGTACTAACATTATAAATGCATTTTCTAGTTGCATATACTTTCCACAAAAAAAGCTGCAGTACTCGCAGTAGTAGTAGTAGTAGTAGTGCAGCTGTAAAAAATGGCTTACAAATTACATACCTTTATGGCGATAGAAAGGATAGAAGCTTCCTGAAATGGTTCAGCTGCTGCAGTAACAGTTTCTACAAAACTTCCCCATGAAAGCCATGATTGCTTTTGTATCATTACTTTAAACTGTCATTCACTCCACTCATCTTGTGCCTCGATTCACAGACGCCATATTTTTACAATCTTCTTTTTGCACAGAGCCGGTGAAAAGCTTACCTCCTCTGACCTCGAGCACTCCTTTCTACCTTTCCAACCCTTTTAGCATTTAGTAGAGCAACCGCAGTGATGTGTACTATGTCAATGGTACGCTGTCTGACTTAGCTTTACACCCGTAGGTAGACAACATGTTTAATCTTCGGAATTACGAATGTGAAGGAACTCTCTGGTTTGGCTGTCTCTTGCTTTCCCTCCTCCACCTCCTCCAAGAGTATAGCTTTTAGCTCGAGACAGATCTGTCAGTGTATTGCCAAGCTCTGGGGCTATTTCACCAAAAGGAGCATTCAAACAACATACAAAGTAAATGTTAGATAAGTCAGGGCCCTATGTCAAATGCTAATAAAACAAAATGGGATGACTCACAAATGCCTTAAAAACATGTTTTCATATTTACAGTAGATTATAGTGAGATCATCTTAAAGGTCGAGGGAACATCACTTGCTTCTCTCCATGGAGATTACTTTGCGTAGAGTATAGTATTAAAGTTATCTTTTTTAAATTGAGGGATTGGCCTCTCCACAGATCTGACTTGGCTCACTTGCCTCCCTAAAGATAAATATGTTGCACAGTGTTGCATTAGACTTTTCAAGCAATGCAATAACATCTCCATAGAAAAGATAGCAGCTAAGTTGGACATACATGCACAGCTGATTAAATAAGGCTTGTATGTTTTGTATTTACATTGTAATCTACCATGCAATTTTGCTCCAGTCCAAGAAAATTCATAATGAGGCTAAATTAGCTTGCAAAATGGTCAACTGATATTGACCTGCTGCAGCTGCACTGCCTTGGCTGAGCCTTATCAGATTTTAGCACAAACCAGTTCAAGTATAATTAGTTTATTGTGCGCAGTATTGTAAATCATGCTGCAGACTTCGAATGTCATGTGGATGCAATAATGGACAGACGACCATTCTAATGATTGTGTAATCTCTTAATCAGGGTTTTTTGTTTTGTCTTTGCGTTGTGCCAAGACCAATAATTACAGCCTAGTCATTTATCAAATGGTTTAGGATCATTGGGTTCAAAATGCATATCTTAAAACCTGTTTTCAAGTATTTGTCTTTGTTGCTGTTGTCACTAGATGTTTCAGACATTTTGTGCTATATTGAATCGTTTTGTACATCATTTATGACCTTTCATTTCAATCTGTTCATCTTTCCATGCAAGTGACTTGGGAAGTTAATTGCTTTTGGGGTCAAGGCTCTAAGTGAATTAAAAGAAACTCTAAAAACTAAATTGCAATAGGTGATTAACTGTGGCACTACACTTAATACTTCTTATTACTTTTCATCCCACGTCCTTGCATGATCAACTATTCACCAGTTACTGTATCACTAAAACATACAAAATTGAAGTTGAAATTGTCCTTGCTATCCTTACCTGCCAATGTAACTCTGTACTTGTTTTTTCCCCTTTTTGGCTCCTCAGTTTTCCTGTGCCCAGGGCTCCTCCGAAGGGTCTACCAGAGCGAGCACCTCTTCGAATCGGACCACCAGTCTGGAGCCTGGTGCAAAGACCCTCTCCAAGCATCTGACAAGATCTACTACATGCCCTGGACACCCTACCGTACCGACACACTAACCGAATACTCCTCCAAGGAAGATTTCATCGCCGGACGACCGACTACAACCTACAAACTCCCCCATCGCGTGGATGGAACGGGATTTGTGGTCTACGATGGTGCGCTTTTCTTCAACAAGGAGCGCACTCGCAATATTGTCAAGTTCGACCTACGGACTCGCATTAAAAGTGGGGAGGCTATAATCGCGAACGCCAACTATCACGACACCTCTCCGTATCGCTGGGGCGGAAAATCGGATATTGACTTAGCTGTAGACGAGAATGGACTTTGGGTGATTTACGCGACTGAACAGAACAATGGACGTATAGTGATCAGCCAGTTAAACCCTTACACATTACGAGTTGAAGGCACATGGGACACTGCCTACGATAAGCGTTCAGCCTCCAACGCATTTATGATCTGTGGGATTCTCTATGTGGTGAAATCCGTATATGAGGATGATGACAATGAAGCAACAGGGAATAAGATTGACTATATCTACAACACTGAGCTGAGTAAAGATGGCTATCTGGATATTCCGTTCCCCAATTCCTACCAGTACATTGCCGCAGTGGATTACAATCCCAGGGACAATCTGCTTTACGTGTGGAACAACTACCATGTGGTGAAGTACTCGCTAGACTTTGGAGCACTGGACAACAGACTAGGTAAGGACAATCTCTCATACACTTGTGCCATGATATAAAACTGCTTATTCTATTCGATTAACATATTTAGAATAGTTTGGTCCCTATTTCTCAAAGGATTACAAAGGACTTCTATTAGCATTTAGGAGATTTCAAAGGGCAGCACACATTAATTTGAACCAAACTTTTTTGGGTTAGTATCTCTTGAAAGTAGTCCATGGTATTATTAGTGCTAAAACGTGTTTGAGAAAGCTGGTCTATGCAGTTTTGACACCATCACTGCAGTTTTAAAGCTAAAGCTACTTGCAGAACCAAGATGTCAGCCCATTCGCACCAAACTTTTCATTCTTAGTATCTGTCGAAAGAAGTCCATAGAGGAATCGTAATACCACTTTTAAAATATGTTTGAGACAGCTGGTCTATGTAGTTTTGAAGCTCAAACTAGTTAGACAGGACTTAAAACATTTTAGTTTGTTGTGAATATGAATTATTCAGCAATTTATATTTGGCAGAGTGGAAATGTTTTATATAAAGGAAGACTATTCTTAACATATATCCCACATTTCCCACTTGGCTAAAACAACACATTTAGTTAGTGTGGACACTGTGTTAATTGGCTTTAAGGAACATGTGTTAATTTTGTCCCATACAATTATCATGTTGAAACTGAACCAAGATGGTGTCAGTTCCGTTGTCCATGGAAGAAATGGTGGTAATAGTACTACAAATGCACTTCACAAAACTGGTTAATGTAGTTCTGATGCAACCACTGTAGCTTTGAATGGGGATGTAATGATATCCAGATCTCTTGGTACAATATTTTCACGATATCCATCTCACGGTACGATATTTACTGCAATATTTTACAGAGGTTAACCAAATTGTGAATGTTACTTTTCCCTTTTAAAATGCATTGACAAGACTATTGTTATACCATAATCCAAAGAATCAAAACTATAAAAGTCCTTATTTATTTCTTCAAATAGTCTGAAACAAAGGATCATGGTCTATGTAGTTCCTTTTTTAGTCACTGTTGTTATTATTGTGAGAACTTTTTGACGATAAGACATCATGTTATTGTTACATGAAGCTAAAACTAGTTATATTAGACAGACATCTTAGTTTATTGTGTATTTGAATTATTCACATTTATTTTTGGCAGATTAGCGTTGGTTTATACAACTTTAAAGTCACAGATAGAACTATTCTTAACATGTATCCCACATTTCTTTCTTGGCTAAAACAACACATTTAGTTAGAGTGGGCTTTGTGTTAATTGGCTATAAGGAACATGTGTTAATTTGATCCTGTATGATTAGCATAATGAAACAAAACACAAAAGACGGTGTCATTCCAAGTTGTATTTTTGTACAATGAAAAAAACACAGACAAAAAGTTCCCTGCTCCCATCTTTGCACTCTTTGCCCACTTATAAATGGGTGCTTGTTGGGAGACTTGGAACAAAAAGAAGCTGTTTTGACACACACAGGTAATTTTTTACGCTATCTCATCAACAGCTCCAGTCAAAAATGTCACAAGTTATTTGACTGTGAACTGAAGTCCGTACCTCAGCTTACAACTGGGAATGTTTTTTTTTTTTTTTTCCCTTGCTTTCCGCTTGCCATTTAATTCATTTTGCCTGCTTGACTACTCGCTGCATCTTCAGTGAACCATCCTTTTATATATATTCATTTATTCAGCAAAGAGTGAGTTTCCGATGATGTGCCGTTAACCACAATATAATCCATTGCAGCTAACGAGACGGAGGAGGTTTTGTTATGTGCGTTTTGTGTAACATTATTATCCATCATTTCTGAGACACCATGTACAGTAACATTCACATGCAAATGCTTATTCTAAACACTACGCCTTTAAAAGATATATTTGGCTTCTGCTCTGAACAGGCTGCCCTCCAAAGAATAACCAAGGACTGTGCCTCTTGAATATAGATAGTAAAATGTTACATTAAGTGGATGGATGAAGTCAAAGCACAAATAAAAATGTCAGATAAACAGACTGATAAGAAATGAAAGGGAGACAGAATGGACTCCCGAGCAATAAAGCATTTAGTTTGATAAAGTCAAGAGGAAGCAAGACTGCCTGCAGCTGCTGTGTGGTTAACTGTTAGGATTTCACACAATATTGTCTCACAAGGGGTTTAATTTTGAAGATGGCTGCGTCTTTACACCGAAATTGTTTGAATCAGCATCGCCGTCAACCACTTCACTCCGCATAAATTAAGTGATTTTGAAATTTGTTTTCAGTGGGTTTTCATTTCTTTAGGCGTAAACTGTTTTCAGAGATGTTAAATTGAATGTTTATTGCAAGTCACTATGCGCTGTTGCAGGAAAGGTAGTTGAGATTGTAGGAATTATGGAGAGGACAAAGTGTTCTTCGCTTTGCAGTTGAGTAATGAATTTATTTTAAACATGCAAACTATAAAACAACAATCATGTCACACATAATGACAATCAAAAAGAGAGCTATTATACAAAGACCACAGAGCTGTAAGTTTACATATCAGTCTTTCCTAATTAGAATTGAAAACTTTGAGTTTCCTGTTGTTAAGTTAGTTTATCAAATACACAAAACTATTAAAGGTGCATTCTATAACTTTTCTGGTGGAGGGTCGGCCGTTTGCTTTTCTCTATGTAGATGTTATTGCTTTGAGTGTTGGAGACGTGTGGAGGTCACTGGTGCTAGGCTAGTGCATGTCAATGGCCATAGTTATCCTGCCACTAAAAACTGTCTCACCCACTCCACAAAACACCCGAAGCAAATCGCCAGACTGTCGATGTGAATGTCTGTGTCAATAGAATAATTTTAGATGTGAAACCAGCCTTGCATTTGAAGGATTTATGTCTGAGCAGCAGCAGCAAGTTGTACTTCCTGATGGAAAGCTTGGCAGTGGCGGACTGATATATGAGAAAATAGTCCCTTAGCATGCAATGATTCATGAGATGCAAGGTTAGTTTTATTTCAAACATTATTCTATCAACACAGACATTTACATCAGCAGTCTGGCATAATAATAGTTTTACGTCAGGTGTTTTGTGGAGTAGGTAAGACTGTTTTTAGTGGCAGGATAACTATGGCCATTGACATGCACTAGCCTAGCACCAGCGACCTCTGCAAATACAAGGACTGGATGGAATATTTTAAAAACTGCCTCTAGTCCTCTCCAACACTCTGGCTCACTAGGAAATGAAGCCCTATGTCCAAAATTCTGAACTGTCCCTTTAACAGTATAGCATTAAACCTTTCTATCATCATGGAGACCAAACCAGGCCAAATTACTGAGCAGATCTGTGGAGAGGCAACCCCGCTCACAGTCAGAATGCCTGTTTTTGAAGGTATTTTTAAGCACTAAAACCACCTGTAATTGAATAAATGTAAGGCAGATCTATTTAATGTCATTTTGTGGAACATTTGAAGCAGAGCAATGACATATTCAGAAACAAGCAGGTGATGGACCCCAGGCAAAAAGTCACAAGAGAAAGAAAGAACATTGGAATTAGCGCTTTCCACTATTTTCACAAATCATCAGTGTAATTTCTTGATATTTCTTCTTAAATGTTATTGTCTTTGAACATTGTTTCAAACCTAAACTGTAGTTCCGAATCCTCCAAATGTTTTGTCGTAAAGGGTAAATGCTCATTTAGATGAGTCACAGTCCTTTAACGTCACAAGTTTATATTTATATTCCATCACTGAGGCCAGAATTATTGCATTTGTTCCTATTTTGCAATATTATCTAGTCAAATAAGGACATTTTTAGCTTTCTGTGTGTCCCCAGGCTTCCCAGGCAATATCTTCTTCCTGTGCCCATTAGCAAGCAACTCTTTCTTCTATCCCTGCAGTAACAAGTGAATAAAGACATCACCAGCATCAAATATTCCAAGATGGCGCCCAAACCCATGCCTGATGCAAAGATTTCATTTCACACTCCTTGATTTTTGGGGCTTAAATGTAAAGTGACAAAACCACATTTCATTTGCGATCAAACAGAGCCAGCGTGGCGTCGTTGGTTGTATTTCTACACTAACACAAACTCGTTCCCACTGGCTCTTCCACTCGCCTGGGCTGACACGACCGGCTGTACCAATGGAGCATGGGAAATGGGCAATGGAGCAGTAGAAACAGAGGCACGTACCAGCAGCTGTGGCCCATGCAACTCAGTCTGCTTCACCTCGAATTGCATAAGACGACTTTCACTAGAGCGTATGTGGGTTTGTAGATGGGGTTCTTTCATTTCCGGTTTGTAAAGCAGGGAGCTATAATGTTATAATGCTGTTTTCTCTTCAAAAACATAGCTGTAGTTGTGTGTTGTTTCACTCACATGTTTGAATAATCCTGATTTATTACTCTGTCAACATCTCCAAAGCTCTAAATTCAGCTCTAAATTCCAATTTGTAATGTCATGTAGTGGTAGTTTTCAAGTAAGCAGCTACCTTTTCAGAAGAAACTGGCAATTCCAGGGCTGAAATCATCCAAATGATTCTAGTGAAAGGGCATGAAGTTTAAAAAGATCATTTGTTTCATCAGATTTTGAATTTTAAATACCACCGAATATTCGCACTTTTAAATTTTTTTACTCTGAAAAAACATGCTTAATTGTTTGTAGTCTGAATTTTAGTTGCTGAAATGCTGAAAGTGTACATTTTCAAAGTGTATAAAACTCAATATAAAAATAAATCAACTTTTAAATTTTCAGCACAAGTATTTTCAAGCTCTCAAATTCAACAGTCAAAATTCAGAGTGTAAAATTTGTAGTGAAAAACTGTTTCCTATTGGCCGTTCTCATTTGTGGGCGGGGTTTGAGGTTTGGATGAGGCTAATTCTGACCAATCGGATCGCTTCACTGCAACATTTCTTATTTGTTACTAAGTTAGATAGGCTCACTTTGGATCGACTGCTTCTGCCTTGGCATTTTGGAACGTTCCTGTGATTTATTTATTTGTTTTTTTTTTTCACTGCACATTTTACACTCTTGAGTTTTAACTGATGAATTTAGGGGCTTG